CTACAGGCGTGTGTTACCACGCCCGGCTAATTTTTTATTTGTTGTAGAGATGAGGTCTCGTCAAGTTGCCCAGGTGGGTCTCGAACCCGCGGGCTCAGGCAATCCACTCACCTCGGCCTCCCAAAGTGCTGGGATTACAGGTTGAGCCACCGAGCCTGGCCAGAGAGTCTTTATGCTGAGTGACAGATGTCAGACACAAAAGGCCACAGACCATACATTTTATTCCTGTTTTGTTTTGTTTTTTTGAGTTGAAGTCTCACTCTGTTGCCCAGGCTGGAGTGCAGTGGCCACTCCCGGCCACAGCAGCCTCGACCTGCTGGGCTCCAGCGATCCTTCCACCTCAGCCTTTCAAGTAGCTGGAACTACAGGTGTGCGCTACCACACCCGGCTAAGTTTTTTTTTTTTTTATTTACTGTAGAGATGAGATCTTGCCAAGTTGCCCAGGCGGGTCTCGAACCCACGGGCTCAGGCAATTCACTCAAAGTGCGGGATTACAGGCTGAGCCACTGAGCCCGGCCTATTCCTGTTTTTAAGTTTGGAGACAGGATCTTGCTCTATTGCCCAGGCTGGAATGCAGTGGCTCAGTCATAGCTCACTGCAACTTTGAACTCCTGGATTCAAATGATCCTCCTGCCTCAGCCTCCCAAAGCCTTGAGAGTACAGGCATGAGCCACCGTGCTTGACTGCTTTATTCTAATAAATGAAATGTCCAGCACAGATGCATCCCTAGAGACAGAAAGTGGTAGATTGGTGGGTGCCAGAGGCTGGGGGAGACAGACAGGGGGATGAGCTCTATAGGCTATGGGGTTTCCTTTGGGGTGATGAGACATCCTGACACTGCTAATGGTTGCCCAACTCTGTGAAGTCATAAAAAGCTATAGAACCGCACACTTTCAAATGGTGCATGTCACGGTATGCGAATAAACCTTGACTAAGCTCTTAACAAAACAAAAAAGACAGCAGGGCACTGTGGTTCACGCCTGTAACCCCAGCACTCTGGGAGGCGGAGGCGAGAGGACTGCCTGAGCCCATGGGTTCGAGACCAGCCTGGGTAACTTGGCAAGACCTCATCCCTATAATAAAACAAAAAATTAGTTGGACTCGGTGGCTCAGCCTGTAATCCCGTGCCTTTGGGAGGCTGAGGTGAGTGGATTGCCTAAGCCTGTGGGTTCGAGACCCGCCTGGGCAACGAGACCTCATCTCTACAATAAATGAAAAAATCAGCCGGGCGTAGTAGCACGCGCCTGTAATTCTGGCTACTCGGAAGACTGAGGCGAAAGGATCGCCGGAGCCCAGCAGGTCGAGGCTGCGGTGGCCAGGAGCGGCCACTGCATTCCAGTCTGAGCGACAGAGTGAGACTCCAACTCAAAAAATCAATCAATCAATCAATCAAAAAATTAGCCGGGTGTGGTGGTGCACACCTGTGGTTCCAGGTTCTCAGAAGGCTGAGGCAGAAAAATCACCTGAGCCTAGTAGACCAAGATTGTGGTGGCCATGAGCGTGCCACTGCACCCCAGTCTGGGTGACAGGGTAAGACTCCAACTCAAAAAAAAAAAGACAACAGCCAAGAAGACAGCCTGACCTCAGCAGCAGAATAAGAAGCCAGGCAAATGTCTGCACCAGCAAATGGAGACTAAGCCAGGGATACAAGGCCCAGCAGGACTTGGGACCCCACACAGGTGGGGACGGACAGCATCTCTCCTTGCTCCTCGGGAGCCCGGCGTGGCGCTCTCAGCTCCCTGGGGGCACTGGGGTGACCCACCTGTAGCAGTGGCCGGGCTCTGTCCGGCCCGCTCGGCCCGCCCGCTGGTCGGCTGATGCCTGGGAGACCCAGGTGACGCGGAAGGAGGACACGCCAGTGACGCGGTCGTAGTAGCGCTTCTTGACCTTCCCACAGTCCACCACATACTTGATGCCAGGGATGGTCAGGGACGTCTCGGCCACATTGGTGGCCACGACACATAGCCTGGTCCCCTCCGGGGGAGGCTTGAAGACCTAGTATTGGGTGGAGGGGCAGCAGGAAAACAGCAGACTCAGGAAAGAAGCTGTGAGGTGGAGGCCGAGGCCAAGGTTGGGTGAGGTGGCGCGGACAAGCTGTCCCTGCCTGAGTCACTGTGCTCTAGGAATAATACAGGGAGTGCTCTTGTTTCTCCAGGAAGACCCCAGTAATGCTCGAAGACTCAGGAGCGCCGATCACAGTGGGCAGAGGGGGGAACCAGGGCTGGCACAGCCTCCACCGTGGTGCCCTTGGGGCACCCTCCCTGGCCCAGCGAGATTACCTGTGCTTGCCTCTCTGGGGCCAGCAGGGAGTACAGCGGGAGCACGTGCAGCGGGAGGGAAGCGTCTGGCTGCTCACCTGGAGGGAAGCAGAAGCCGCCGGCAGCCCAGGCTGGGACAGATGCCATGGAGGAGCTGGCCTCACTGCCTGGCATCCCTGTCCATCCTGCCAGACAGCCCATCCCAGTCCCCAGGGGCTCCACTTGGGGAACCCCGGGGGACTACTTAGAGCTCCTGAAGGCTCTCATGCCCCTGCCCTGGTCAGACCTGAGCCCCACCACTGCTTCTCCTGGAAACCCCTGGCCTCGTGTCCTCAGAGCCTGCCCTGCCCCCAGTGGCCTGGCAGCACTGCCGCGGGCACAGGCAGGGCTTGCGGTGGGTACCTGTGGCTACCCCACATGGCCCGCGCTGGACACTGCAGGGTGCCGGGCCTATGTACATGGGGCCCCAGTGAGCACACCGGGGCTGGGCCACCCTCCCAGCCACCTGAGCCGCTCCCACCCAGCACAGGGAGCCCTGGGGGGACGCCTCCTGCCCAGCCCCCATGGGAAGCCCTCCTGGGGCCACACCTCCATCCGCCCCGTCGTCCCCCAGGTCCAGGTCGAGGTCGGAGCCCAGGGCATCCTCTTCGTCGTCCACTTCGGCTTCCCTGTCCTCGTCACCCTCGCCCACTGGCAATACCGAGTAATGATCCAGGTTGATGTGGGGCAGTGCCTGTGGGCAACTAGCGGCATCAGCGTGGCTGCTGGCAGCCCTGTGTATGCAGGCGGTCGCTGCGAAGCAGACCTGCCCACACCGGAGCCACGCTCCACCGCAGACGGGACACTTGCCTGGGGAAGCTCACTTAACCTCCTTCTGCCTCAGTGTTCTCACCTAAACACTGGGGACCACCACAGGACTCGTCTCACGGGGCTGTTGGGAGGATGGTGTTTGCTTACACAGGTATGGCACTTGGGACGCTGCCCAGTGCCCCCTTAGTGCCACAGAATGACAGACAAGCCAGGCTCGGTGGCTCAGCCTGTAATCCTGCACCTTGGGAGGCTGAGGTGAGTGGATTGCCTGAGCCCGCAGGTTCGAGACCCGCCTGGGCAGCGAGACCTCATCTCTACAATAAATCAAAAAATCAGCCAGGCGTGGTAGTGCATGCCTGTAATTCCGGCTACTTAAAAGGCTGAGGTGGAAGGATCGCTGGAGCCCAGCAGGTCAAGGCGCGGGAGCGGCCACCCACTGCACTCCAGTCTGGATGACAGAGTGAGACTCCAACTCAAAAAAAAAAAAAAAAAAAAGGACAGACACGACTGTCATAGGACCCACACTCCACTGCATGTACACCCCTCCCTCTACTTCTTCAGCAAGCACCAAAGGGTCTGCTGCCCCCACAGGAGAGCCCCCAAGGCTTGGCCTTCCAGAAGCTTCCTCTGAATGTGTTTTAAATCACACCCAACCTCCACCCCCAAAGCTGCGCCATCTGACTCTGCCACGGGGGAGGCTGCAGACCCGCGATGTCCTACACGCCCACCCGCAGGGCCACTGAGCCCCTGGAGGTCTGGCTCATTCACGTCCTGCCGTCACAGCATGCCTCGCCCTCAACAGCCCCTGGGGCAGTGGCCAGGCTAGCACAGTGCAGTCCCAGCCCCCAGTCCTGGGCTGCGTGCCCAGGTCCCCACACCTCTGCCTGCGCCTTCTTGGCTCTCCTGGCTCTCGTCCTCGACTTCTTGAACTCCCGCATCTCCTCGGCCGAGTCCTTCTGACCGTCCCTGCCTGGGAATAGGGAGCAGGTGGGAAGAGACAGTGTGGCCGGCGCAGCTGCCAGCGTGGTGGCCCTCCCCACCAGAGCAAGGCCACTGCAAGGCCACTTAAGTGCGGGAAGGGACAGGGAAGGACGCCGACTCTCCCAGAAGGAGACTCAGAAGCGGAGGCTGCTGCCCCAGCCAGGGAATTCAAGGCCGGGCCCAGTGGCTCAGAGTCAAGGCTCGTCGGGGTGTCCCGGTTACCTGGTGGCTGGGCTCTGGGGGGCGGGAAGGCCTTCCTGAGCCGGCGGCACAGCGCGTGCACCTCTGCCTGTCCCGTCAGGAACACCAGGATGCCACCTGTGGAAAGAGCCAGGCCCCTTGGTTATCCAGCAGTCACTCAGCAAACATTTACTTAGCATCAGGCACCTGTCAGGCCCTGCTCTGAGGCCAGGACTGCCCAGACATGAATGAGCAAGACGCAGCTCCCCCAGACTGAACAGTGCGGAGGGGAGCTCAGCATGCAGAGACCACTACCCAGCAGACTGCTGGCACAGACCCAAGAGCACTGAGAAATGCTCAAACAGAAACACGCACACGACAACAACGTCCTGTCCGGAACATGAGGCTGAGGGGGAGCTCCCACCTCGCCTCCCATCAGCTCAGAGCCTGCACGGAATGGACATAACCCTGTGCATCCCCAAACACAGAGATGCCTCAGGTAGAACAAGGACCCAGGGTCAGAGCAGAAAATCTCAGAGTCCTCGCAGGACAAAGTCAGCTTGGCGGGAAGCAGCCCAACTGCCCTCTGCCTTCATGACACAGAGGAAGGAAGTCATGGCCCAGGGTGGCAAGCAAGAAACTTTGGCTAGAAGTTATTTCAACCTACTTGCCCACAAAAGGTCATCAGTTGGGCTCGGTGACTCAGCCTGTAATCCCAGCACTTTGGGAGGCCGAGGCGATTGGATTGCCTGAGCCCGCGGATTCAAGACCAGCCCGGGCAACTTGGTGAGACCTCATCTCTCATAAACTAGCCAGGTGTGGTAGTGCGCACCTGTAGTTCCGGCTACTTAGAAGGCTGAGGCGAAAGGATTGCTGGAGCCCAGCAGGTCGAGGTTGCAGTGGCCATGAGCGTGCCACTGCACTCCAGCCTGGGTGATAAGAGTGAGACTCCAACTCAAGAAAAAAAAGAAAGAAAGAAAAAAAAAGGTCATCAGTTTATTTTATTTTTGAGTGAGAGGCTCACTCTGTCACCCAGGCAGGAGTGCAGTGTAATGTTCACAGCCACTGCAGCCTAGACCTGCTGGGCTCAGGCAACCCTTCTGCCTCAGCCTTCCAAGTAGCTGGGACTACCAGGTCTGTGCAACCATGACCGACTAATTTTTTTTTTTTTGAAAGCAGGATTTATTGAGAAGACAGAAAAGCTCCCACAGTGGGAGGGGACCCCAGGGAGTTGCCCTAATTTTTTGATTTATAGCTGCCCAGGCTGGTCTTGGATCCCTGGGTTTAGGCAGTCTTCTTGCCTCCACCTCCCCAAGTGCTGGGATTATAGGCATGAGCCACTGCGCCAGGCCAATTTGTTTTTATTTTTTTTGAATTGGAGTCTCACTCTGCCGCCCAGACTGGAGGGCAGTGGCCACTCCCGGCCACCGCAGCCTCAACCTGCTGGGCTCCGGCGATCCTTCCGCCTCAGCCTTCCAAGTAGCTGGAACTACAGGCACGTGCTACCACGCCCGGCTCATTTGTGATTTCTTGTAGAGATGAGGTCTCGCCCAGGTGGGTCTCGAACCTGCGGGCTCAGGCAATCCACTCACATCAGCCTCCCAAAGCGTGGGATTACAGGTTGAGTCACCAAGCCCGGCCTGTTTTAATTTTTTTTTTTTTTTTTTTGAGTTGGAGTCTCACTCTGTCGCCCAGACCGGAGTGCAGTGGCCGCTCCCGGCCACCGCAGCCTTGACCTGCTGGGCTCCGGCGATCCTTCCGCCTCAGCCTTCCAAGTAGCTGGAATTACAGGCATGTGCTACCACGCCCGGCTGATTTTTTTATTTATTGTAGAGATGAGGTTTTGCTGCCCAGGCGGGTCTCGAACCCGCGGGCTCAGGCAATCCACTCACCTCAGCCTCCCAAAGGCGCGGGATTACAGGCTGAGCCACTGAGCCTGGCTTGTTTTAATTTTTTTTAAGAGGCAGGGCCTCTCCGTCGCACAGGCTGGAGTGCAGTGGCAGGATCATGGCTCACTGCAGCCTTGACATCCTGGGCTTGGACGATCCTTCTGCCTCAGCCTTCTGAGTAGCTTGGGACTACAGGCTCGTACCACCAGCTAAGTTTTTTATTTTTTGTGGAGGCGAGGTCTTGCTATGCTACCGAGGCTGGTCTGGGACTCCTGGGCTCAAGTGATCCTCCTGCCTTGGCCTCCCAAAGTGTTGGGATTACAGGTGTGAGCCACCGTGCCCAGTCTCAAGTCAATTTAAATGACAACGTTAGGTAAGTGACTGAGCAGGTGCTGTGTGGGGACAAGGGGAGACCGTGAGGGGCGCAGATGGACATCCGGTGGGACACACCGGTTCACCTGCACTGTCTGTGGACGCTGGTCCCCACCCACACGTGCGGGCCCCGTGGATTGTCTCCCCATCAGACGTGGGCGAAGGCCAGCCCCACCCTCCACTAACTGCTGCAGGAAGCCTCATGGCACGGGCAGGACGAGGCAGGGCAGGTCTGGGGACGGTCTGGAACCAGCGAGGAAACCAAGGCACAGCAGGGACAAGGGACGATTTCGGGCCACTCGGAGAGCCTGGGCCCACCCTCCGCCCTGAGGGTGTGGGGAGTGCCCCACTCCCCAGGCCTCACCCGCAGGCAGCATGCGATGAACCTTGCAGACCTTCCGGAAGCACTCGCCACTGTAGTCTTCCAGCGGTGTCCGCTTGTTGAAATGCACCGTCACTGGGAACTGCCTGGATTCCACCTGCAAGACGCCCAGCAGGCATGGGTGGCCTCGGCCCCGAGCCTTCCCTCATTCCCCTGACCATCTCGGCCAGGGCTTCCGATGCCTCCCGACACCCGGTCAACCCCAGGTCCCAGGTCAACCCGGAGTCCCAGGTCTCTCAGCAGCCTCCTCTCCCCCCGGACTCTCACAGGGAGGCCTGGGACTCCGTTACCTTGATGACCGGGGGCGGCACAGCAAAGAGTCGTGGGTTCTGGGTGAAGTCCTCCACCCGCAGTGTGGCCGACATGACGAGCAGCTTCAGCGGCCGGTTCCTCTGTTGGAGACAGGTCGGTGACCACGGTCCCAGGGTGCGCCGCCTGGCTTCCCTCAGCTCCACCCCTGGCCCCTTGGAAAGAGTGAACCACCAGCAGGGACTGCCTCTCCCAGGGTCATGGTTCTTTCGGGGGCGGTGGGGGAGGGGGGGTCTTTCAAGCTCCATTTTGGGAGGTGGAGGCAGAGGCCAGAGGATGGCCTGAGCCCAGAAGTTCGAGACCAGCTCGGGTAACTTGGAGAGATCTTGTCTCTCTTTTTTTTTTGAGTTGGAGTCTCACTCTGTCGCCCAGACTGGAGTGCAAGTGGCTGCTCCCGGCCACC